TCACTGGTGAGGTGAGAACTCTAACCTGCAGATATTCTCTCACTCAAGACCCCGTGTGCCACCATGGTGTTTCTTTTTAAGCGGGCAGCCAGAGTTCAGGTTCACTCTGACCCAGACTTGGTGTGGACACCGATGATCACCGCAATATCCTAAAACCACTCAACAGGGGACAGTAGATGGCTGGTGTGCATGCGTGTAACCTGCGAGTTGGCATTAATAAGGGCTGTGAACTTTCTAACAGAAAAAAGAGGGGAAAAAAAGACAGAAATCAAATGATCAAGCCACACCAATCTCAATGTGACATTAAGTCAATATTTTAATGGACTGTGATTACAAAATGGAAATCACCAAAGTACAAAGAAGCTGAAAAATAAGACTCCTGAATTGGACTACCAACACATAAAAGACTGGAAATGGGTGGGATGAAAATACTATGATGCCAAACGGGAGTGCGTTACACCCTGTGATACAGCTACTTTGCATTTTAAAACAGAGTCATCAGTATAATCTTCACTACAGACATGTATCAAGTGTGGACATCTTATGTTAAACTCTATCATCAACAAACTTTACAAAGTTAAAGGTCTAAAGAAATGTTGCATTGTAAGCCTTTCATCTCATAGCTTCATAATAACTCTTTACCATAACAAGAGAGCTTGTGCTTTCTCAAGTACCCAACACTATTTTATTGAGTCTAAGGTGCACACTACTTCCCTTATTTTAACATCTTAAATCAGGATGTGCCTTACAACCACATTTTCCCCCTCTTAGTAGTGTACAAAGTCATGGTGTACCTTGCAGATATCTTGGATTCAATGAAACATCGTACCTGGTTCTTAGAAGCCCTGACTATAAAATGACCCACACCGTGGGCACAATTACTGGTGGGTTTTTTACAATGCAAATTCCTGAGCCCAGAATTCCTCCCAGAAAGGATAAAAACCCCTGCATGGTTAACAAGCTCACCAGGCGACCCTTATTCTGACTCAGAACTTCAGCTCAACTGTACACCGATCCAAACACGCAGAGAAGTTTGGGTAAGGGGCAGGGAGTGAGTCAGATCTAGGCCAAAAAAGCCCAAAGGTAAACCTCGCAAGACAAGAATCTTCATTCTTTCCTTCACAGTGAATGGAAATTAGCCTGACTCTGGGCCAGGTCTCCTGTGGGGGTGCAGAGGGAGAGGTGGGCAGTGAATAAATCTGGAAATAATGTGTTGAACAACAGAGCGAGAGAGCTGTCTGCAGTGGTTACAACAGAGTGTAAAACTTAAAATCGTTCAAATGTTTTCTTGCAGTCTGCCCCTCTATCAAAGCAGAATTTTGCTTTAAAAGTCAGAATCCAGTTGAAGAAATGAAATGGGGATCAGATTTCTGTAACAGAGTACAAACACACCAAAAACACAAAACAAGACAAAATGACATTTCATTCTGCCTGCTCCCTCAGAGCACCACAACTGTTGATTAAACAGCTGTAATGTAACTACCTTACTTCTACACTACACCATCCAGGGGGACAAAGATGGATGGGTGGATAGATGGAAAGAAAGGGAGGAAGAAACAGATACTACTTAGAACAATGGCAAAAATAAAACTAAACACATTTTAACTATAAGAAGTAGAACACAAGTAGGATAAAGAAGTGTCCAGATCATCAATTGCTACAAAGAGACTAGAGAGGCCCAAATTTACATACAGTATAACTATCTTCATCTCATGTAAGTAGAGCATTTTACATTATATCAGATGAGCAGTTACAGATTTCTATTCTGAATGAATGTTTTAGAATTTCCCTACATATCCACTCCAGTTCTACTGTCTTTAAGTAATCTGCAGAATTTAACTGCACCAGGGCAGATGTCATTTGTCAGCCGAACTTTTCACGTGAAGAAATGGAGGAGCAGAGTGGCTCTATGTGCCCAAGGACCCTGGAGAGCACACCATTTCTCGCACAAAAAGAATGCAAGTTAGCAGCCATTTGCAAAGAACAGGAAAAAGCTTCTAGTGTAAAATTTTCTGAACCAATTAAAAAATTCATTTTTGTTGACCACATGTCCTTCCATATGCATTTAATGATCACTTAACTGCATATGCTAAATGGTATCATAGTACACCAGATAACCAAGACACTACCCAGACAAGCTTTGCAGAATTTATGATGAAAATCAATTCAGATTCATAGATACAGATGTCCACATAATCTTTTCTCACTAGCACACAAAAACCAGGGCCCATCAACGGATGAATGACTAAACAAAATGCATTAAGTATCTTGGAACATTGGAATATTATTTAGCCATGAAAAGGAATGAAGTACTGATACAGGCTATAACATGAAGCAAACTCTAAAACATAATGCTAAGTGAAAGAAGCAACACATAAAAGATCACATATTGTATGACTCCATTTTCATGGAATACCCAGAATAGGTAAATATCTAGAGAGAGAGAGCAGACTAGTGGTTGCCAGAGATTGGAGAGAGGGATGGAATGCAGAGTAACTGCTTAAGGAATACGAGGTTTCCTTCTGGGGTGATGAAATGTTGTAGAACTAAACAAAGGTGATGACTGCACAATACTATGAATGCATTCAATGTCAATGAATTGTACACTTAAAAATGGTAAATTTTATGTTATGTGGATTAAATTTAAATTTTAAAGGAAATGGAAAAACTCACCAGAGTGAACCTAGAAAAATAATGAACAGATGAAAATTAATTAGAAGTAAGGGAGATGTAAGTAATAAAATAGCTTGAATCAAATGTACAGGCCAATGAAGACGACAGTGAAAGAATACTGATGGGGTAAACTGTGGGAACTCAGAGGCAGTGGAACACTTCCTCCTGTGAGAGAAAGTCAGCTGACTATTTTAGAATAAAAATCAGAAAACCTTTTAAAGTTTAAAGAGCTTGGGAACCATGCTCCACCTTCCCAATCAGAGTAAGGAAATTAGGTAATATATGATATTAAGTAATTTGGTCAATGTCATTTATGAACTAAATGCAAAACTACTGCTTAAAATCAGATATTCTGATCCTAAACTCAGGAATCCTTCTGAACTAAATGCAAGACAAATGTTTGCTAGATGGATTTCTGTGAGACTTAGGACCAAGTTCTTTTACTTCTTAGGTCATGGATTTTTCAGTTTTAAGAAATAGGTATAAAAGGGGGGAGGGGCGGAAGGACTCACTGTCTCAAAGATAAATTAGCTCAGTGAGGCCCCAGGCTGTCTTATTCATAGCATCCATGATACCTATAACTCCCGGCATGTGGAGGCCCTCTCATATGTCTAAATGAATATATAAGTTTTTGAATACTGAGACTGGCCATGTAAGACCTAAGATATGTGGTTAAAAAAAAAAAAAACTCTTCTGTTCCTCCACAAAAAATGGGACTAATTTTCACCATTCAACATCCTCTTGGTCCTCTGACCCTCTCTCCAATTACCTTTCCCTTTTTAATGCATCTTTAATTATGAAAAGATTAGTTAGCAATGCTTTTTAAAAATGTAACATATATTAACTGTATTTAAAAAGTCACTTTAACCCGTGGTGTTCAGTCTTATTGAGACTTTGGGGGTTTGGGGGAAACTGGTGTGCCCTTTTTAAAAAGCCCCATTTGTGGGTGATTGAGAATCACTGCATCAAACTCTTTATTTCTTACTATCAAGAAATGCTAGTTTTTAATGAGCTGAGAAAACTACGCAGAATTAGTGAAACAAGGTGTCCCACACCTGTATAAAATTGGAAAAATTTGTGACTTATTTAGTAAACTGCCAGAGAACTCAAGAGACTGGCAGCCTTTAGAAAGGGGTACAGTTAATGATAGGACCAAAACAGGGTGCTGATTCTGTCAATCTCCTGTTGAACGGTATAAGCTGGTAACTTGTATTTTCTAAGGAGAGGAACTTCAAGAGGAGAGCCCTCTATACCCAATAATGCACTGTATGAGTAACATTAAAATCTCCCAAAACATGTAAAATGTGACCGTATACCACTAGTTCCGCAAGATGGTCAAGACTTCAAGGGATCTGGGATCTACTGTTGGTATTAACCTTTAGGTAACCTCTAGGGGAGTTCGTATTTTCTTCGTAAAATTGGGAAACATATACAAACAGACCTACTCTACGGGTTGTAAGAAATAAATGTGCGTATGAAAAGCACTTGACACAGTGCCCTAGTAAGCAATCTAATATTATCTAGTATCATTGTATCCATATTCTTTTTGATCAAAAAAAAAAAGAAATGAAACGGTTCTGTCAATTAGTGGTTTACTATCATACGACTTTTTTTTAAAAAAAGCAAAAAGTCGAGGATGATGAAAACAAAAAAAAATCACAGCTGGAGATCCTAATCTCAAATCATCAGTCCATCACTCATTGTTTAGATCTAGGATCACAAATCGTCACACATGGTAGGGACTGTGACGTTAACAGCATACAAATGGGGGAAAAAAACCCTAAACTAAAAGCACATTCATCAATGACACGGAACACCAATGGGCTGGATAGGTTTTAAAAAGAAGTAGTACCTCCAGCTAAAGAAACGCTAAAACTTTACAAGTGAGCCAAGACCGCCCTCCACTGAGTTCAAACGCAACATTCGACTCCATCCCCGCCTCTTTAGAGCACTCAGCCCCCATTTCCGATCCAAGCCGGAGCCCCCGCGCCGGACCCGCAACCCAGGTATCAGCCCCAAGCCGGAGCGCCAGGTGCAGGCGCCGCCCCGCCCTCCGCGGAGCCCCGGGACTGTCGCCGGGCTGGGGACGACCGCGCGGGGGCGGCGGCCCGGAGCCGCGGCCAACTGCGCTCTGATGCCCCAGTCCTGCCGCGCCCTGCCCCCTGCGGGACCGGCCACGACGAGCGGCCACGACCGGGCCCGCCCCAGGCCAGCGGTCGCGGGGAGAGCGGAGGATGAAGGTGAAGGTGGGTGCCCGGCTCCCCGCAGCCGCCCTCCATCCTCCCCGTCCTCGGCTGCGGTTCCGTCCGCATCCCCGTCCGTCTCACCGGCCTCGCGCCCGCCTCTCCGCCGCGCGCGCCCGCTTTCCGGCCTCCTTGCGGTCAGTCCTGCCGGAGGCCAACGGGAGCCGCCGCCGCCGCCGCCGCCGCCTCCTGCTCGCTCCTCCGCTTCCTCCCTGGTTCCTCTGGCTTCCCCTCACCCCCGCGAGTGGCCAGGAGGAAGCCAGCTCGCCGCTGGGCCTCCTCCCCCTCTTCCCCGCTGCGACCAATGGGCCCCCGCCACCGGGGAAGCCGCGCCCGCCCCCTGGGCGGTGGAGGACTGAGCCGGCGCCCGCC